GTGAGTGTGTGTGTGTGTGTGAGTGTGTGTGTGAGAGAGAGTGTGTGTGTGTGTGAGTGTGTGTGTGTGTGTGTGTGAGTGTGTGTGTGTGTGTGTGAGTGTGTGTGTGAGAGAGAGTGTGTGTGTGTGTGTGTGTGAGTGTGTGTGTGTGTGTGAGTGTGTGTGTGTGTGTGTGAGTGTGTGTGTGTGTGTGTGTTTGTGTGTGTGAGTGTGAGTGTGTGTGTGAGTGTGTGTGTGTGTTTGTGTGTGTGAGTGTGTGTGTGTGTGAGTGTGTGTGTGTGTTTGTGTGTGTGAGTGTGTGTGTGTGTGTGTGTGTGTGTGTGTGTGTGTGTGTGTGTGTGTGTGTGTGTGAGTGTGTGTGTGTGTGTGTGTGATGTTGATTTTGTGGTTATTTTTGGCTGTTTGTTTGTTGATGTAATTCTGTGGTTAAGTGTTGTTCTGACCTTTGACCCTCTGTTCTAACTGAGTTTGATGTGGAAAATTTTGGCACATTTCAATTTGACCTGTTTACAGTTGTCTGTGTTTGTGTGACTCAGTAATACACACACACACACACACACACACACACACACACTGCAGCTTCTCCAGCAGTTTCACAACCCCCCCGCCTGCCCCCCTACCTGAACCCCGCCTACCCAACCCCCCTGACTCATGAACTGATCAAAGAGCTCGTCTGAAACACCCGTAACACCAAAGACAGACAGATAGTATTAATATTATTAATGGAAAAATAATTATCAGTGAAAATAATTGTGTTACAGCAAAGGTTTAAAAGTAACACTATTATAATTAATAACATAATAATGAAAATAATAATAATGCTTATATAAACGGTGTTTTAAACAGAAGCATGTAGGTTAATGAAAAAGTAAACGTACAAAAAGTGTGTTTACAAATAACTAAATAATGTCTGTTTTATCTAAAGTGTGATGTAAATAATTGTGAATAATAGTGAAAAATAAAGGATTACCAATTATAAATATTATATAGTTTCATATCAGTTGACCCAGAGTCTGTCCAGTCACAAAAACTATGTGTGAAATCATGCAAAATGTCAAGTCTGTGTTCTAAATATTGTTTTAGTCATGAATTTTTAAAGGTGTCCCCATCAGGATCTCAATCACGCCTGAAATATTAAGGAAATAAAACATAAGAACAAGAAAACTAGAAAAGTATTTCAGAAAACGGACAGAAAGATTGGCTTTAAAAGACGAAGCTGTACTGAACTGAAGTCAAAGTGCAATAAAGTGGAATATTATTTTCAGCACTGAGTTTATAGAAGATTAATATTTCAGTTACACTCAGAGTTTCAGATGAGATTTACATCCTGAACAAACTGTAAACAGTTTATACTGTCGTATGAGTTACATCAAGGGGTTTTCTTGTTTTTTGTTGTTTTGAGGCCAGGTGCCATGGAATGATGATGATAATAATAATAATAATCTTGGCTGAGTGATGCAATCTGGACGGTCTGGACGGTCAACACTGTGTTTCCTGAAAGTGTTGTTAAGCAGCCACCGTGGTAACAGTGGAGAGAGAGTGTGGAAAATGATAGTCTCTCTATCATTCAACTCTAGTAGTTCCCAAACAACATTTTAGGGAAATGCACACCTTCAGCACGGCTGTAACACTGTAAGGCTGTAACTCTGTAACACTGTAACGCTGTAACACTGTAACACTGTAAGGCTGTAACTCTGTAACACTGTAACGCTGTAACACTGTAACTCTGTAACTCTGTAACACTGTAAGGCTGTAACTCTGTAACACTGTAACGCTGTAACACTGTAACTCTGCAACGCTGTAACACTGTAAGGCTGTAACTCTATAACACTAATGCTGTGGGGCTGTAACTCTATAACACTAACGCTGTAGGGCTGTAACTCTGTAACGCTGTAACACTGAGGCTATAATGCTGTAACACTGTAAGGCTGTAACACTGTAACACTAAGGCTGTAACACTAAGGCTGTAACACTGTAACACTAAAGCTGTAACTCTGTAACACTAAGGCTGTAACTGTAACGCTGTAACACTAAGGTGTAACACTAAGGCTGTAACTCTGTAACACTTTAACACTAAGGCTGTAACACTGAGGCTGTAACACTGTAAAGCTGTAACACTGTACAGCTGTAACACTGTAATACTAAGTCTGTAACACTGTAATGCTGTAATTCTGAAACACTGACGTGCTGCAACGCTGTAACACTGTAACACCATAAGGCTGTAACGCTGAAACACTGACATGCTGTAATGCTGTAACACTCTAACACCTTAAGGCTGTAACACTGTACAGCTGTAGCACTAAGGCTGTAACACTGTAAGGCTGTAACACTGTAACACTGAGGCTGTGAGGCTGTAACACTGTAATGCTGTAACACTGTACAGCTGTAACACTGTAACACTAAGGCTGTCACGGTGTAACACTGTAACACCATAAGGCTGTAACACTGTAACGCTGTAGCACTAAGGCTGTAACACTGTAACACTGTAAGGCTGTAACACTGTAACACTGAGGATGTGAGGCTGTAACACTGTAATGCTGTAACATTGTACAGCTGTAACACTAACACTAAGGCTGTAACGCTGTAACACTGTAATGCTGTAACTCTGAAACACTGACATGCTGTAAGGCTGTAACACTGTAACACCATAAGGCTGTAAGGCTGTAACGCTGCAACACCGACATGCTGTAACGCTGCAACACTGTAACACCATAAGGCTGTAACACTGTAACGCTGTAGCACTGTAACATTGTAAGGCTGTAACGCTGTAACACTGTAACACCATAAGGCTGTAACGCTGTAGCACTGTAACACTGTAAGGCTGTAACGCTGTAACACTGTAACAC